CCGAACTGGGCGAAAGCAGTGTTTTTTCGATATTTCGCCCAGTTCGGCTCCGATTTGGATGCTGCCACTCAACAATTGCTAAATCGTGGTGTACGTTTGACTGAATTATTGAAACAAGGTCAATACGTGCCCATGTCCATTGAAGATCAGGTACGTAAGCAATAAATACAATTTCAAAATGCCAAATATCTTATAACCTGCCTTTAGGTCGCCGTAATTTATTGCGGTGTACGTGGTCATTTGGATAAGATGGATCCTGCTAAGATCACTAAATTCGAAAAGGAATTCTTACAACACATTAAGACAAGCGAGCAAAGTCTTTTGAGTCAAATTGCCCAAGAGGGTAAAATTTCTGAAGGCGCTGATGCCAAATTAAAAGAAGTCGTTACCAAATTTTTGTCCACCTTCCAAGGTTAAAAATGTTGTTAATTTCTAATCAATGAAAACACGACCACCAGTACTAACGTAACCCAATTGCAGCAGTTAAACCCTGAATTTTGTGCATTAGTCACATTAATTAATTATTAAAAAATTTCAACGAATGCAAAAAAAAAAAACCATTCAAAGTCCTTCACAAGGATGATTAAGCTTAAAACAGATTTTAAAAAATTATTAAAACTTAATAAACTGCTAAATAAGAAAAAAAGAAAAAAAAAAAAACGAACCTAGAAAAACAAATGAAAACGTACTCAAATTGAAGAAATGAAAAGTCATTCATGTGTTACTACTCTCCACTCTTCTGTCCTTCAAACCCTATCAGTAGTTAGTAAGCATTCTAGAAGATCAGAGCTAAACTCCTTTCACAGTCAAGCGAAAAAGCTGTTATAGGACAGCAACAACAACAACAACAGCAGAAACATTTGAGGGCTTTCTTTCGAACTAAGAGCGCGCCGAAGATTACCTTCAAATGTTTCTAATGTTACTTGAATGAATTTTAATGAAAATGTTGCTTTTTTTTACCTTATTTTTTATCACTAAACAAAAAACAACTCAAACAATAAAGTTTATTAATAGATATTTTTGTGTTCTTGAACAAACAAAAAAACATTCAATATATATGCGGAGCAAGTGAAAATTGGATGTTGATGTTATATTAAAACATTTATGACATAATAAAGTAAAAAGTTAAAATAAATCTAATCTTAAACTAAATGGCTTTAATTTGTTTAAATAGTATTAGGATCACTTAAAACTATTTGCTTGCGGTTAATACGTTAACGTTGCAAATGTAAAAAACTACCAAAAAGCTATAGGGAGTCAAGGCCCATCATTAAATATCCTACGCCATCCTGCAATTATATATTAGGTGGTGGAACAAATGGTACCATCTGAACCATTTTCAATAGTGTCGGTTGTGGGGCGGGAACCGTTCGTCAAAATATCTCAATAATTGCGACGTCAAGAGTAGAGAACTAAGCAGACAGATGGACGGACAAGCTCAGATTGATTTAATAAAAGTTGGGACAATCTGGACTATACACATGCACACAAATTATACCTTGGTAGGGTATATATAGGATCGATAAGATAGGGTATACGGTGGTTGGGTTATATATAACATGACAGGATGGATAGGATAGGGTATACAGTGGGTGGGTTAATTATAACATGGCATTGTTTCAACTGGCAAGCCTAGTGAGATCAATATAGTGGAAGAAAGGTAACCGTAATACAGCACGGGTTGCCCCATGCCAAGCAGTAACATAAAATTTGGAAGTTGCATGAGTAATTGCGGGCAATTTTTCAAAAGTCTATCAAAACGCTTGTTTTGGATTACAAATTGAAATTTGGACTTATCCTAAGCGAAACTTGCCTGTGACAATTAAATAAGAATATAGGATAGGATAAGAGAGGAGAGAACAATAAGTCTCAGCCGCCTATCTAAACTTTTACGACTTCTTCTATCTTTACGATTATTTTATGTATGTTTTCGATTTTTTTTTTTTTTTTATTATTTTCCAGGCCATGAACTTTCTGCTTGAAGTCTAGCATAAGAAAATCTAACTTACTCAGTAATACCTGGACAAATAATATTGAAGGACGCATTCAAAATGCTTAAGAACTTTATTTCATTAACGGGCCTTACAACAGGAGTGCGGTTTTACGCAACACCAAGAAGGACTTGGAATAGACCCGCATTTTATTATAACGATCGAATCAGAATCACTTTCTGCAAAAACTTTTCTGCATCGATGTAAGCTTATCCATCTTGTTTCTTTTGTCCTGCCTAGAAGTCTAAATTTTTGAGATGAAGATTTTCAATTCTTCAATTTTCTTATGAAGTTAGGAAGACGGGCATGTTTTGGCCCAAGGAAGACGGCGATTAAAAATTATTCAGATCGGATCACTTCTTCAACCATTTCCCCTATAACGTCCCATTGTGAAGACTTGTTATATGAATATATATAGGGTGATGTAAGTACCACGTTCTATAGTGTACTGTGGCCTACATATTTTCTAAATATATGGATATATAAATATTAAATCAACTCAGTCAGCACTTCTGCAGGTTTTGCATCTGAAAGTCCAAATATGTCAATAAATTTATTAAGCGTCGAGTCGCCATAAATGCACTCTGCAGTCGTAAGTTAAATGCAATAAACGTACTCTCAGCTATGGGACATCTTCCACAACATCGAAAAACGATTTCATTGAGAATGCAGGTGCAGCTGGATTGGATGCAGTAGCATTGCTTGACGATGGTGGAAAACATTCGCTGGAACCAACTGTTCTAGAAGAAGATAGCGTTTGTCTTTAATTAATCATAATGTATGCATCCATTGTACAACTGCTTTCATTGATTGTCTGTCTTTCAACTGTCAATCCATTGAAAATATAATAAAAATTTTTTTTTTTAAAAATTTTATTACACAGATACAAAAGTAAACTCCCTCAAAATAATATTTGACAAGTAAGAAAATTATATTCGGTCGTGAACGAATCTTTTATACCCTACACCGTTATTCTGAAAAAGACAAAAAAAAAGTAAAAGAACCAAATTTTTATGCTTTATAATATGGAGTGGACGCGGCTGACCTTGGAAAAGTTTAAGTCACTTCCAAACAGCGTTGCAAATTTGTAGACGATATCTTCATCTTCGCTAACGAGAGAATGTTTACTACAAATACTGCACAGCTGCATAGGCAGTTAGGTGGACAGACGAGCACACCGGCTCCTTTAGATGTATTCCAAATTTGGAATTGGAAAAAAAAAAATTAAAATTTAGAGATGCTGTGGGGCTGTGGGCGTATCCTTCGACCAATTTTACTCATTTTCAATACCAAACTATGGGCCAGAATTTCCAATGTTTCTGTCAAATTTGGTGTCGATATCTGTATTTTTACCAGCCAGGAGAGTGTTTGCTAAAAACATTACACAGACGGACAAGCACATAAACAGAGAGACAGGCGTACATGCTTAAATCGATTTGAAATTTGATATTGATCAAGAAAATATATATACTTTGTGGGGTTTTTGATGCTACCTTCTGGACGTTGCAAACGTTTTGTCAAAATGAATATACGAGTCTTCGTTCGGTGATGAATATAAAATAATATAGTAAATTATATTTTTCCCTTCCATCCTAGCTCTCTTCAAACACTTGATCACTTTTCTCACTTCTTATTGCAAGCAAAGCACACTGATGTGCAATGAATTTTGGATATAAAGAAAGCATTCGCACTCTTCTCGCACCTACACTTTTTCCATCTCTTCGTGCGAAAAAAGGACGAACGAGAAAGTTTGAATATAAAAGCATTCAACCATTTTTCTCAGCTCTTACTGCAAGCAAACGACGAACATTGAACTTTGGATATAACAGAAACATTCGCATTCTTCTCACCTCCCCTTCCACCCTGCTCATCGTTACTCGCCTATCTAAAAAAAAATGTAGTAGAACTTTTGTTTCTCTCATTTGGTTATCATCCTCCTCATCGCTCCATCACTTTTCTCACCCTTTGCTGCAAGCAAAGTACAAATAGTAGGCGTTAATATAACCCTTCCACACTCGGCTACTTTTCTCTCGTTACTGCAAAGAAAGCTCTGGGAAAGCTGAAAGAGCCATTAGCAAACTTCTCGTCATCTCTCACCCCCTTGCACCCTTTCTATCAATCCTTTATCGGTCCACTGCTTCTCTCATCTCTTACTACTGCAAGCAAAGCAGGAACAATGAATGAACTTTAATTTTAAAAGAATCATTAGCAACATCCCCATGGTCTCTCACCCCCTTGCCACATTTTTAGCATCCCTTCTTCGGTCCACTGCTTCTCTCATCTTTTACTACTGCAAGCAAAGCAGGAACAATGGATGAACTTTGAATAGAAAAGAAGCGTTCGCATCCTTCTTATCATGTTTTTTTTTTTTTTTTTATTCAATGCTCTTACTAGCTAGCATTGCACGCAGGCAACAAACAGACAGACAGAAGGAATCTCATGCAAAGCAATAATCAATATACGTTATGCATATTTCGTTATTAGTTAAACAGAAATGTGTAGAAAGCAATTTTCCGTATATGTCTGTTATTCAAAAAAAAATTCTCCAAAAAAAAAAAAAAAATTAAAATACACATAAATAATTAAGAAGAAATGTGATAATTAAACGATAGCAAAGCGCGATGCGAGCATTATAAATAAAAAGGTAAAAAAATTTACATAAAATATCTCACACATACATGTATACATAACATGCTTACATGCATGGATTGAAACAAATGCATATTTATTTTCCTTTATTAGTAGTAAGTACATTTTTATTGTACGCTATTGCAGTAGGTCAGGTCGTATATATGTTATTTGTGGTAGTGTGTAGTACGTGCCGCCGCCAGAGGCTCTTCTTTTTTTTTGTAATAATAAAAATCATAAAAATCGGCAAAGAAAAGAAACAAAATAAATGACGGTCATAAAACCGTCAAACTCGATTTTCGAACAGGCGCACAGTATATACGGGCAAGTGTGAAAATCTTTCCCTCCATCTCACCACTCCATATGCATGCTCAATCCAGCCAAGCAATAGACAATTATTTTCTGTGCGTGTGTTTACATATATATATATATATATAAGCGAATAAAGTACTTTTTTACATTCAACAATTTCAGAAGCGAAGAAGAAGGCAATCGAATAAAAAGCATGAGATGAGATGCAGGCCAGGGCATCGTATAATGTCCGCCGCTTGTATGTACACTTTACATATACACAAATATTATGAAAAATTTTACAAGGTAGTAATTATGTAGTGCGGTTATCTTATATAATGAATAGGTTTAGTAAATATTTGTTTAAAAGATATTATTGACATATGTGTAAAGGTAATCTGCTTCAGAGTAAGTGCGTCTTCAACATCTTCAACATGTAATATGATTTTTGCAGTAAAGCATTATACAATAAAAATCGATCGTTTGAACGTCTTTCTTCACAAGCACAACAAGTTAAGAAGTACAAGCACGGTTTTATACATGCGTCTGTTTCCCCGTTATTTGCTCTGTCAGTTCCCTCGTCATTTGCTCTGTCAGTTCCCCCGTCATCGCTCGTCCATTACGTCCGTCTCGTCAATCCCTAGGAAATCGTCGTAATCTATCTCAATCTGTATTTTTCCGTCCGCTATCAATTGTTTCGTCATTCTGTCCACTGAGTGAGTCAGTACTAATTTGCACGCGCACAATGTCGTTCGTCCGGTCCCCTTTGACTTACTAACTGTGTAAGCGTCGTTTTAACTGAATTTATGTTGTATCGGACAAACTCTACGGTTACAAGGTGATTTATCTTATTAGTAAGTCTGTCAGTCAACTCCCTACCAACTACCTCCCAACAAATTGGTCTACCATCAACATCCCACAATTCTGGATACCTAAACAATAGCTTGCTATAAAGTTCTTTGGGAATGTACGCCATATTAATTTACTAAATACAATAATAAATATAGACTGATATAAAATATTATATATATAAAATATTTTATTAATATAAACTGAAAAGAAAAAAAATAAATAGAAAAATAAGAGGAAATTAGTTTCAATTAGATAAAAAAAATTAAAAATAAAATAAAATTGCAACAATATGCATTTAACGATTTAAAAAACAATTGAAAACATTATAGACGGGGATCAGCCAACTATTAAATATCCTACGCCGCATTCTGTCTGATAAAATTCTCATTTTTGCCATGGAACACAAAAAATTACGCGTCTTCGCAAATAAAGGCTTACTTTCCGTAAGTATGGTTGTACTCAAAAGGTTCAAAATTCCGTTTGATAAAACTTCGACTCTTCTCCCCTAAAAAAAAAAAAAAAAAAATTCCATTAAAAACCTAATGTAGGATAGGACACAAAAATAGAAATGGATAGTTCAAATTTGATGCAGCGAATTGTTTTTACCTAAGTTACTATTAGGAGTTAAGCTTTCTCATAACAACATAAAATTTAGACTTTTCTGTCCTATACTTTCGTAAAAATCTATATAGAGGGCAGAGATGGCCAAACCTTGGTAGTTAATTTTTCTATTTTAAATGTCAATTATAATCTGAATTTTCTTCGTGAAGCATTCAAAATTACACCTCTTTGTCATATGAACTTGAGTTTTCGTTACGTGAGAGGGGGTTTAAAAAATTGCCCGAGCTTGTCCAAAGTTTCCAAGCCAATCCAGAATGTGGAAATGTTAGTACTCGGTCGAAATTTTGAAAATTGCAATTTTTTTCCACAACTTTCCAGAATAGGACGTTATATGAGGAGTGGTCGGAAAAGTTGGCCGATCTGAACCATTTTCAATAGCGTTCGTTCTTGGATCAAAATAGATCAGTGTACCAAAGTTCATTGGAATATTTTAAAGCGTTTAAAAGGTCGCGACCTGTAATTTGAACACAAAATTACCTGGACAGACGGACAGACATGCTTAGCTCGGAGTAATGAAAGATGCATCTACTTTAAGGCTTTCTACGTGTTACGGACACACATTCAAATTTAATATACACTTTACCACAAGGTGTGTAGGGTATAAAAACACTATGCAAAGATTGCTACACAAAGAGCTATGAGTTTTTAGACTTACCTTAACCTTTTCGGGCGCGAACTAAAAAAAATAGGATGGGGAAAAAAACCAGTAATTTTTCTGAGACGACCTATTTTATCAAATATGTTTATTTAAAAATACATACATTTTAAAAGGGAATAAATTGTGATATTATTATGTTATAACAAAGAATATAATAATAAGTAGAACGATTTTAACATACACTGCCAAGCAATATATTTTACGTTAATCATTTTGAAAAATTTTAAAAGTTATTACCAATTTCGACTGTTTTATTTGAAAAAGCAAAAAAAATTAAAATAAATTTAAAATGTTTAATGAAAATACCTTTAATGTTTTCTGTTATTTAAATTAATTGAAAAGTAAACCCGTTGGTTATGATTATCAAAAGTATCATAATGATTAACGTGCACAGTGGAAAAGAGAATATAAACAAAAAGAAACAAATATATGTGTATGTATCTATGAAAATAACTTACGAAATATATGAAAATTGAAATTTAAAAGAAGACACAAAAAAATTATACGAATAAAGTGGAATAGAGTTTAACAAAGTTTATTATAAGCGTTATTTAAACAAATTTCTTCTAAAAAATAAGCAAGAAAATAAAAATTTTCCAACTAAGCAGTTGTTAAATGCAACCCTCTACAGTTACAGAGTTCATCGGCACGCGAATACGAAATGGCTTAAGAGAGGCTTGAAAAAGGTTCGTCTTGGCAAAGATTGCTTTTTATTGCTCCGTTACTTATGATATATATATATATATATGAAAAAAAAAAACATCGAAATTTCTTGCAGAAACTTTTCATTGAAAAAAATTCCTTAAGAAAGCGATTAAACGAAAAATTACACAAATTAAACTAATTATCCGTTAAAAGTTAAGAGAATAAATTGCTTTTTTAGTTTTTTTTTAACCTAAAATGGAATCGTTGTAAGCATAGATTTGAACCCATAAATTCTGTTCTGATGTTGGCGATAATTATTCTAATTATTACAAATTACATGAATTGTTAGTCGTACTTTTAATTCCCATTTTTAATAATCGAATCGATTAAAACGCCATAGAGTTCTGGACGCATAGATATTCTTTGAAATTTCGCTGACTTGTACTTATTGTAAACTGCCTTCAATTTAACAGTTCGTGCATTACGTGCAATGGCAGCGATTTTTCTGGCTATCGGCTTTATATGTTCAACGCAATAACGCGAATACCATTGCAGAGTAGGTGTCCAGTAAATATCGTCGAGTCCCACAGTCAGCTTAGCATTGCCTTTTAAGAGATTCAAGGATAAAAACAAAGATGAGGCAGCGATCTGCAAAAACAAATATTGGTAAAGTTTTAATATAAAAAAAAAAAAATTAAAAATTTAAGAGAAAACAAAAGTCAATAAAACTCACTTCAGATGGTTTATAATAGGCCATATTGGATTCAATCATCGCCAATTCAATAAAGTACTTAGACATGGCATATTGAATGTCTTCCGCTTCGGCGGCTTTTGAAAAGCGTCTTAAGAAATGTATGGGCAAGGGCCGCGATAGATTGCAGTCTAAAGTTTTAATCATTTTCAACTCCATCTTTCGTATCTCAGAGTCGGTGTAAGACTCATCGGTAATGTAAACGAAATCTGTTATTGGTGGAGGAAATAATTCCTCATATTTAGCCGCTATAAACAAACCAGTTACACCAACTAACTGCAATTGTGAACGTTTCGTATCTGTAACCGCTTGTAAGTAACGATCTATTATTGCAACGGCCATTTGAAAAGTCTCAGGAATTAAACGAAATTGTAAATGGACCTCATTGATCCAATCTATTAATACAGCGCGCATATTGACATTAACTTCCACTTGCCCTTCCAAATGGTTTTTAACAATTGGTTGTTCGGATTCCAATTGGAACAGATAATCGTAAATATCATTGACGTATTCAGACACTAAGAGCAAATTTTCAGCATCATCCTCGTCAATATCGTTTACACCGTCTAGCAATCCAGACGAATAAGATTTTGACTCTTTAATTTTTTCTTTATTGACTGTTGCTAAGCTCTCCTGCTTTACCAAAATCGGATTTGAATCAGTTTGTATTGCAACTAACTCCGCTTTAGGCAGCAATTTGTCCTCTTCATCTTCTAGTGTAGATTCTATAACAACCTTTTCTTCAAATTCCGATTTAATGGATTTCATTTCAGCTAAATAGAGTAAATGATAGAAATGAGATGAATGCGGGGAATACCCAGTCAAAACTATGTTCAAATGCGACTTTACCTTTAGTTTTCTGGGCAATCTGGGTTTTATTCTCGACCACTTTATTGGTCAACGTCTTTGCTTTCTCGGCTACCGTAGGTGCATCAGCCGATTGATGACGCTGCAAACCGACAACTTTAGTTCCGTTAGTAGTTGCTAAACGCAATGAATTGGAGCGTGTTATCATTTTACGCTGGGCAACTGCAGCGGACGTAACTGGCACCGCTGCTGTCTCGCCGTTCAATTTCTTGGCGGCCGCTTTGCTCGCATTATTAATAGCAGCTGGCGGTTTCTTCCAATGTGAATCCACGCGTGCTTTAACGGCTTTGCAAACATTTTGCAATTTTGCATTGTCCAGACTGCTCCGAGTACAATAATAGTAAATAAGCAATTTTTCGCCAAAACAATTAAATAACTTTATGCTACTCATTTGTAGAAGTAAACCTAAACCTGCCTGATGTTTTAATTAATATTACAGTGCGGCTGATACTATTGTATATCACATCCGACGGTGTCATACGTGCGCTATTTATTTGACAAATTCACTTCTATGTTCCCATTTCTTCCCAATGAAAAGACGGATATGTCCGCTCGTAATTTAAGAATTATATCTGTGTTCGATGCAACATCAAACACTTATTTTAGAAACCTTGAATCCTTAAGGCCTATACAATTTGTCAATAAAGCCTTGAAATAGCAGTTAATACCATTTCACTTATGTAATGCAAAATTAGAAAGAAGATATGTGATCCAAAATTTTTAAGACTTCATTATAAACGTTCGACATGACCTATACATCCTATATATACATACCATGTCTTTCTTATATATATATATTGGCAAAATTTCAATTAAAGACTGCATTTATTTAACGCTCCGTCCTAAAAGAAGCAGTGAAATTCAATCGTAAGTGCATCAAAAGAGTTACACTAACCACGAAATTGTTCTCGCAAAATCTGACTGAACGACTAGAGTTTATTTATTTTATTCGACTACATAATGATAATAACACACCTTCACGACTTATTTATGCCTAACTTTTCGAACAATTCACAATTAGTATGCGAGCTCCACTTCATCTTATTAACATCGGATCAATTTACGAAAAAATGAAAAATAGTTTGCCCCTAATAAATTCTCCGGTGCACATTAATCAGATCTTAAGGAGATTTTCAAGGCCTCAGCGATTAGGATAAGCAGCAGGACCTCGGCTCTTATATTCCTAATTGGTTTAGTTCAGTTTATTAATCAATTAATAATACAATACCATTTTCTACTACAATTAATTAAGGTGCCTATAAGACTATAAAGCCTCTCAGTATATAGTAATGAACAACAATAATCTATAGAATGAATAAGTTCTTTGGTACAATATTGGATAAAAACGTAGATAAAAACCTGATAGCTATTACGAATTGTGGAAGGCCTTAATGTCCGCTTTAAATCTACCAAAACTAGCAATCATTTTAATGCGGAGCTGTAATGCACTCCAAAAACTTACAGGGTTAACTAAAAATTGCCTTGATGTTAGCAGGTATCTATCGTCAGGCAAACAGAATTTTCTCATGGGACTATCTTCGGGTTCGAGTGCGACTTAGCAACTTATTACTAGAAACAGAATGTAAGTTACCATATTTACTCGCGGCATGACGAGGCCTTCGATCAGTCTCAGTTTAGTGATAACGATAATATAAGATGAAGAAACTAAGAATGTTATATGTACGCATGACAATGTAATGGAGATGATCTTTAGCATTCAACCAAGGTTAGAGAGGAATTAAATGCAAAATTTAGAGTTCAAATATCGGCTCTAAAATAATGGTCTAAGAAATAATTGCTCGTATCAATTTATGTTATGGTATAAATCTGCCTGAGAAGTTTGACATTACATGTCATGAAATTAAATGGGATCTTTTATAAAACATACTTGTTTTACTTTGCAATTTTTTCATGAGACAATTTAATGAACTGAGAAATTTAAAGAAAAACTTACTTGTTTTGTGATGGCTCCTTTTTCGCCACAGGGCGAACAACGCCACGATTTTGCAGATCACCTAAGGCAGTTCGTTTTCCGACAATTTCTGCGTTTGTGCCCATCTTTTGCATTTGCTTGGAAGCTTCAATTACTTCATTCTATAAAGACAAGGAAAAATCCAAAATTTTAATACACATATATATATAGAAAAAGTAACCATTAACGTCATAAATTTTTCACATGTGGCCCCGAAATATTTTCTTAAGTGTCAGCATATTAAGCATATGCAAAAGTACCGTAAGAAAGTTATATTAACAAACGGGACTAAATTAACACTTACCTCATCCACACGTTCTTCTTTGATATTTTTTGTTGAAATCATTCTTTTTCTTTTGGATGCTCACTATGTTAGAAGCCGTTGGATTCTTTTTTAAAATCGTCAAGCAGTGAAAATCAAACGCTAATGCTATTTGCTATCTCTATCTTTCTTGTACGGTAAGGCACTTGTATAAGTAATGAATCCACTCTAATGGCGCCTAAAAAATTCCTCTGCTAAATAAATCAAAATTGTCTCAGATTTATTTTATTCTTTATGCTTGATCCCTTTTTTAAACCTTGTGTGATCCAATAATTAAGCCACAATTTATAAGTTATTCTCGTTTAATTTTTATATTTAATATAAAAAATAGTTTATTATTCAAGCAGCGCGAAGTAATTTATGGCTGTACAAATGAGAATGTTCACCAAACAGTGCCTCCAAAACTAATTATCTACAACGAAATCAACGAAAGTGTAGATAAGCAGAGTTGTAGAATATACACTAAACAACAGACATGTTTTAATCTAAAGCTTTTCACGGGGCAATCATGTATGAAAAATCTGGCTTACTCTTTTGTATTCAGTTGTTCAGCAAAAGCGTCTGAATACCAAAGTGAAAGTTAACTTTCAGCTACGTTAGCTGCGCCATTATGTAATGTGTACAACGCGATAATAAATCAGTGCTGTTTTATATATAATCCGAAACTAGTTTTAATTGCAGGAAATTTTAGTTCCGAAGCAAGGGTCCCAATGCAAATCTTCAAATCGATTTTCTGCTAAATCAAGGTAAAATGAAAACTACACGAACAAAAAAATATAATAGGTCTGTGCTCGTGAATTCTATTGACCACGATAAGTGGACGAGTGGGATAGATTTGCTATATTTCCACTGGTTCCATAAAGAAACATTGCATTAAGCATTACAATAGAGTTAGAAGTTAGTTTTAGCACACATATCATTAATTAATGGGTCCACGACGGCCTTTAAATCACATTTTAACCATAAACTTCAACGTTTTAGTTACTTTTGCATGCATTTTAATTATTTTCATGATTCTTAGAAGCGACTAAGATTCGCATCGTGGTATAAGTGATGTGGTTCATTATGAAAACATGTCTTATGCTTAGTGTTGATTAACTGCAATCGTCTTTTTTTACAAAACACAACGAATCTTCGATTGTTGATTTGCTGAACAGCAGAAGAAAATTTGCAATTGTATTGACTCAAAATCATAGCTGATAATCATACAACTGAAAGTCAAAACAAGAGTTAAAGAGTTTTTACATTACACGATTTTATTTTACTTAAATTTTATCAACGATGATAATGCTTTCATAAAATTCATTAAACACGGAAGCTTTGGGTAAATATTAATCTTTTTATCGCAGAGCCAGTGGCATCTAATTGCCCACAAAGTGCCGACATTATGCCGCATTTTAATAAACTTGGCAACTCTACCACACGTAAATTCGAAGATTTATATTATTTTGACAACATATGCCAAGAAATTCGTAGTAAAAAAAAATGCAGATACGTTTTTACAAATATTGACAAAATTTATGTTCTCTTCTTGTAAGTTTTTATACTTTTTCCTACAATCCTTCGAAATTTTTGACTTTTAATAGTAAGACCCCTATGCATTTTTTTCCGATTGGTTGTTTTGTTTCAGTTTCGATCCTCCAAATTCATTGTTAAAATTCGTTGTGATATTAACGGACTTATATCCATCACGAGTACATTCGTTTTAGGCACTGTAAACTACACATAGCGAACGAAATTCTTTCTTAAACGCAAGGAGGAAATAATTTAGTTATTTAGTCATTTGTAAATTAATTTTGTGAATCTATGAACGAGTTCAGAAAGTGAATTTTGAGACTTGACTTAATTTATTACGGACAATGGAAGATGATGTGTCATCAAATAGTTCTTTCGAGTCAGTGGAAATTAATTCCTCTGACGTTGATTTTAGTGGCGTAGAAAGTGAATCAGATGACGACGATCGAATTATGTACGATTCCGAAAGCGAAAATGAACTTCACGATCCACCGGTCAGTGCGCAGCCCAGCGAAACAAATGCAATATGTGACGTTTGGACGGAACTAGAGCAATGTCCTCCATATTTCAAATTTCGTGGCGAACCCAGAGGATTGAAACTTCCGGCAAAATTAAGAACTCCAGGGGAGCTAATCGATTTATTCCTTTCCAAGGACTTTATTAATATGATGGTTCAAAAAACTAATAACTATGCTACAAAAGTAATTAAAAAGAAAGGAATGTTAGGAAGTTCGTCAAGATTTTTGGACTGGAAAGAGACCAACTATGAGGAAATGCGAAAATTTTGGGCACTACTTCTCCACATGGGCATCATAAATCTGCCTAGTGTGCAACATTATTGGAATACAAGTCATTTATATAGGTTACCATTCTGGAAAAGTAATATGACTAGGAATCGATTTCAAATATTGTTACGATTTCTACACTTTTCGGATAAAGTAGGACGCACGAATACTAAAATGCATAAAATCGAATCACTAATCAAACATTTTAATAGCACGATGGAGAGTTTATACAATCCCGCAAAAGACTTAATCATAGATGACCCAATGATAATGTGGCGTGGTCGTTTAACCCTTCGACAAGATATTAAAAAGAACAAGAAACCCAAATTCGGTGTCAAGCTGTATGAACTTTGCGAGTCAAATGGCGCGATAATACGAATTCTCGTCGATTGTGGAAAATCCGATCCTTTAGTTAGTGGACGAAATTATACGACTTCAGTCGTGCTTTCTCTTATGGATGGTTTTCTAGATAAGGGCTATGTAGTATATATGGATAGTTTTTATACCTCCGTAGCGCTAACATCAACATTGTCGTTGCGAAAGACACATATGTGTGGAACATTACGATCTAGTCGCCAAGGAAATCCCAAGGAGTTGATAAAGCAAAAACTTAAGAAGGGTGAGCATAACTGGAAACGATCAGGAACCGTTGTCGTTTGCAAATGGAGGGATAGGAGACATATTTTGACAATATCGAATATGCATAAAATTGAAATGGTTGAAGTCGTTAACCAATCCGAAAAATTAAAAATTAAATTAACTACTCTACCAAACGTGTTACGGGATTATATTACGGGCATGGCAGGCGTAGATCATTCAGATCATATGATGTCATATCATAGTTCGTTGAGGAAGACGCTTCGTTGGCATAAGAATATAGCCATACATATAGTCGAAGCAATGGTACATAATGCGTACATATTTTATAGCCAGCAACCTGGCGTCAGACCAAAAAGACCCCTTCAGTTTAGGGAAGAAGTTATACTGTATTTATTGGATGCAAAACAAAATGCGGTACCTGTTCAATCACCCCCTTTAAATGTAGCTGAGAAAAAAAGTTCCCTTCATTACCTCGATCCTCTTCCTCCTACCAGGAAAAAGAAGGGACCGACACGTCAATGTAAAGTTTGTGCACAGAAAAATGTCCGGAAGGAAACTAGATACTATTGCCCAACTTGCCGTAATGAACCGTCGCTCTGTATTGGACTTTGTTATAAGACCTATCACGAAAAACTACTTAATTAAATCAAGTTAATTTGAAATTTTATATTCTTTTTCGTTTTTATCATTATTATTATTAATAATTTAGTCAAAGAAATAAATTCTCGGACTAAAGTCAGGCCGATCTTTATATGACTTTAAAATCGTTTGCGCTTACATAAATACATAAACCTGGAATAACAAATGGAAACTTTCTATAAAACTTCTGAAATTTTCAAGTCATTCTCCTTCGAGAAAATATCATTCAGTCATTTCCAGATAAAAAATTTCAAGTGTTGACCACATTTCAAGTCACGGAATTTGAAACATTAGCTTGAAAGTATGGGCTACTTGCCCACAATTACCTTTTACGGTCTCCAAATAGGAGTTAAGTTTCTCAATTATCTATAGCATTGAGTCCAACTTGTATTTTAAGGAACGTTATTATTATTATATACGAGATTCAGAAATTCTTGTATTTCGTAGTTTTTTATAAATATTTTATAAATATTTTCAGTCGCCGTCTGAGTTGAACTAGTTTCCGACCCGGAGGATTATCTAGGAACTGTCCTACAGAGAGAGTTCATTCACAGTATATACAACCATTGCCTGTTTGTATAAAAAACTTATGACTAAGAACCAATTTTTGATGATTTGAAGGAAACTTAAAAATCTGCTGAGTAGATTGAAGTGAAGTGGAAGAAAGAATCATGGTTTAGTTACGAACGAAAAACAGGCGCAGAACGAATAAATATTAATATTGCTGGAATTGTTGACAATAACACCAAGAAAGTTTATCGAGGATTCGGGAAAGCGCTTCCCTTTCCTGTGGTAAAGATAAAATATTTCATAAAGCTTTACCTTTGAACTGTGGTGTTCAAGTTGATCGGGGAAGGTGTGAACGCCCTTGTATTTAGTTAACTGTTGTGAATGGAAAGTCCTAGCTCGCCATAATAGTTTTCCTTTATACTTGAAAAGCTGCTTATTTAGTTAGCTGGCATGAACGGAAAGTCCTATCTTACATATTCAGGAAAAACTTCCATTTTTCCTTTTTCTTGATCGTACGACACACGTAATGCTGCCATTAACCAACAAAAACCTACACTTGGGGATATGTGTGCAAGTTTAAGCTTTGCTGGTGGCTAACGATTATGGATTAATGTTTTCAATGTTTTCTCTGGATAATCTAAAAGATCAAGAATTACTTGGTAATAATCTTGTCTCACGGGTAGGTTTGGCATGCTGGTTTGGATGTCTTTCTTATAATTCAAAAATACGTTTATTATTCTGTATGTAGGTTGCTTCCTTAAGCACTGATTAAATAAAAAATTATGTAATTGTGGTGGTAGCAATATTGTAGCAGAATACTTTCAATGAAATACAAAACAAAAATTAAATTGATTTTCTGACAATCTCCTCGCCAATGAACGCACATTTTTAAATCATAATCAAGAGAAGACAAAGTTGAACTCAACCAGCTATATAGAGATAACTTAATGCCTAATCATGTATCTTTCAAGTTTTCATTGGAGGTCCATACTAGGAAACATTAACATTTATAATTATTTTTTAATAGTTTTCATGTAACCTGATATAAAGGCTCATCTGTCTCACCTCGGTATTAAATTATACGATAAATGCTTGTGAGCGTTTCGTAATGATAATTAATTAATGTAATGCGTCAAAAAATGAGCATAGTAAAATTGATGGATCCTTTCAGTTCAAATAAATAAATAAAAAATATTGATTAAATCACTTAAGTTTAATTTGTGAAAGCTCATTTGCTCATAGTTGCTGTCCCTTCCGCTGCCTAAGAATGAAAGAAATTAAAGTTTTAATTTAAAAAATAAACGATTTACACATTCTCCTTTGATAAGAGATGCCGCGATCGGCATGTGTGCAGTAGTAGTAGCGTCTCAATGATCATGTGCACTTGTCGTCGTTGGCTATCAGTCCCGTTTTTTTTTTTCTTTTTTTGGGATATAGAGCGCGAGCAGACTGAGCCCAAGAGATACGTGCCTGCTATAAAAGAGGTCATGTTAACGGTCTGATTGTCTAATTAGCTATTTTAATACTTATTGGTGATGAAAACACTTTTTTTTTTTGTAATTTCGTGCTTTCTCAAAAAATACTCTGACAGTTTTGTACATAATGTCAATTTGCATTTTTAGTAGAGTTGCCGAGTGCGCTTTTTTGTGATTAAAAGAAAATAAACAAAATGGAGCCATCTATATGTGAAGATACACTTTCAATAGCTGAATAGACAGTAATGTTTGAAATCTCACTATCTGTGATATCGGAAAATAGAAGCACTTGCAGCTGCTATATTTTAAACAATATGCAATACTCGATAAGTGGCTACTTGAAAAGTTAAAGAAGAGTAACTACAAAGAGATAAACAAATTTCGAAAAAGGATACATCATATTATTGAACATTAATCAATCTCTGAAAAGTGTGCTGTGTTTGAGTTTGGCAAGGATAGAGTTTGCCAATTTCTTGCTCCTAATACTGATGTACGCAAAATGCTATGCAGAAGGACTATCTTTCGGATAAGAAGACATTGCCTCATAGGTGTCATTAAGATTTGAACGTGTTCCCACGACTTCATGAGGAGTAGCATCTGCACTCGCACTGTCTTTTTAGGTTGGCTTGTGTGGAGTTTCTTTGCAACTTTGTATTTGCTAAAAGTAATTTCTCTCGAATCGATACGAATTTGATCGATACGTTGCAGGATTTTTAAAGAAACAGTCTTTGGCCAAATATTGTCTACTAGTTGTGGCAAAATATTGCCAAATTAATGCCTGGTAATGCAATATTCAACCCTTTCGCTCATTTTTGTTAAAATCACTTCTGTTCGTAACATGTCGTCTGAACTGTATCCAGCTAATTGAACTAACGAACGATAAAACTCTGAAGTTTTGCAGTTTCTTTCGTGCCTAGTCTCTCTTTCATGCGATAAATGAGGATTTATCACTTTCTTACTTGTTGCTATTGGATGGATTTCGTACGTTGTCAGATATGAAAGTGAAATGAAATAAGTGAATTGTGAAAGCAATTGAAAAAAGCGAAAATTATAATCCGGCTTAAAGAGCATGGTTGAATTGGTACATGTTTTGGTTACTGCTGAGAGTGTCGTTCACAACCCAATTCATGTGATTGTTTAGTTCTTTTGGACGTCGAGGTAATGTGGATGTATTTTAAAGAGTTTAAAACGAGAGGGAAATATTTTTATACCGATCATCGAAGGAAGGCAGGTAAATCGATTTTGTCAAAACGTTTGCAACGCCCAGGGGAAAGCATCGGGGACCCACGAAGTATGTGTATTCTTCATTAGGATGAAATTCTAAATCGATTTAAGTATGTCCGCCGTTCCATTATTTCCTTTGAACCGCTGTAAACATTTTCCTGGCAGCAAAAATGAATCTACCGACTTCACTTCGACGGCCCATTTTCAATACTAACCTGCGTGCAAGAGCTTCCAATGTTTGTGTCAAATTTGAAGTCGACAGCTTTATTTTTGTGGCCAGGAAAATTTTTACCATAGACGTTACACAGTCGGACAAGCGGACATGATTAAATCGATCCAGAATATGATGCTGAGCGAGGGTAAATATACTTTTTAGGGTCTCTGAAATTTCCATCTTTGCATTGCAAATGTTTTGATGAAATGCATCTACGGCTCATCCTCCTGTGATGAGTATAAAAATAAATAAAAACTTTACATGGGGCTGTGGCCTACAATTGAGTAGCGCACACCGCTTCTTTTAATTCAGTTATCCATATATCGACTTTTCAAAATAACGTGTTAAAAGGGAAGTAGCCGAAGAAGTAGTCCGATCTGACAGCTTTCGCCCTTGGGCCGAACCACATCAGTGTACTAACACAGGACACAGGAGTATTTTAACGGACTTCAGATGGACAGACGGATAGGCGGAGAGACAAGCTTAGATTTCTGAATCGAACTTAGTGATTTTAAATGGATCAGCACCATAAAAGGAGGCTCTATCGCAAGTACTTCTGGGTATTGTATATATCTGCATAAATTTATATTCCTCTTGATATAATGATTAGATCATATTCCAAGAAACAACAATGGCGAGGTCTCTACGATCCATTTAGCCGCTTTCAGTTGCTTAAGTCTTATTCCCTAAGAACACTTTTTCATTCCTAAAAAATTGCACTTTCAAAAATGTTAATCAGAAAATCAACACAAGCGTTAGGATACCGTTATCATTGAATGGTAGTTTAGCATACTTTTATATTATTAGAAAAACAAGTAAGAACATATAGTCAGGCAAGTCTGCCCATAAAATTCCCTACATCAAATTGTCTAGCAGAATTCTTATTTTTATTATAGAATACAAAAATTATACCTTGTTTATATATAGAGGTATATTTTTCTTCATTTGCATAGTTCTGGGGAAGTAGGCCCAAAACGCAATCTAATGTAGTACAAGTTTACCCCTTACATATGTCAGGATCCGAAAATAGGCGTAAATGGTCCAAATTTGGTAGAGTTCATTTTTGTATGAAATCATTATAATATTATGGGTCAATTTCTATCACCACTTGTTAAAACTTAGACTTTTTTGCTCTACAAATGGTCAATTTTCGTGAAAATCCTTATTAGGGTAGGATTCAAAAAATAGGCCGACAAGGTCCAAATTTGGTAAAGTTAATTTTTTCATGGTACATTACTATTATTATATTTTTTCTTCTGAAACATTAAAATTTATACCTTGATGAGCTTGAGTTTTCGTTATATGAGGGGGTTCAAAAATTGCCCCAGGCTGTCCAAAGTTTCCATACCAATTTAGAATTTTTTTCCATATAACGACTTTTCAGAATAGGACATTATATGGCGACTGCTCGAAAAAGTGGCCCATTTTCAATAGTGTTCGCGCTCGAACCAAAACGCGTTACTGTATCAAATTTTATCGAAATATCTCAAAAATTACGATCGCTAGCTTGAACACAAATTTACATGGACCGGCATCAGACGAACAGGCGGACAGACATAGTTAGATCGATTCAAATTGTCATTCGGAAAGCGATTCTGAATCCATCGGCAAACTCAGCCTGCTTCAAGTCCTCCTAGGTGTTGCATACATCCGAACAAATTTAATATACCGGTATGATGACAAAGA